GAATGTGATGATTTTGAATGTAACTTAAATTCATGTGTTTTTTTTCCTTCAGTTGAATTTGTAGCTGGGAGTATGGCTTAGGTATTAATTTTACTTCCTAGTAGATTTTACTTGAAATATTAGGTAAGAAACTAATTACTTGTTGAAAGTGTGCATACAGTATTTGAGCAAAGAGGACTTAAGAAGAATCTTTTCTTTAAGAAAATAGACACGAATGGGTTGGTGGACAATTGGAGTGCATTTTTTTTTGGTATATTGCTCTAAGATCACTTGATCACTAGACATCCTGTTACTCACTGACCGAGCGGGCACCAACCAGCAACGTCTCCATTCATTCCTGTCGCGTGCTAGTGTAGCACAATGGCATCTACTCATTCTAGGAACATGAAGCGCCTCAAACCGATCAGTCAGGGTCTTGACGAAGAAGTCTGACCATCTCATAAATGGGGGCCACACGATATTTTGACATCCTGTGAAATCCAATTGGTAATGGCTCTAGTCCAGTGGCCGTCTCCAAATCTCATTATGTGTCCAGCCCATCTGATTTTCGATGCCCTGGCAAATGAGACAGCGTCCCTGATTCTTGATCATCGATGGAGGTCGGAACTCTGGATTCTTTCTCTCATTTGAGTGAAGCATGATACTCCAAGCACAGCTCTTTCCATTCCTCTTTAAGAAACCCGAATAGTATTCTCATCCTGTTTTCATAGGACCCAGGTCTCTGAGGCATATGTTAATGCAAAAAGAACAGTGAAATTGAAGAGATGTGCCCGGATCCAGAGATTCTTTGCCCTCTTAGCTATTTCTTTGACACTCTTGAAGGCGTTCCAAGCCGCTTTCTTCCCCCTGCGCAACTCAGGTGCCAGGTCATTCGTCATGTTGACTTCTCGACCTAGGTACACATAACTGTTGCATTCAGAGATGTCCGTTCTGTTGAGAGCAAATGGAACATCAGGAACAAAACTGTTTCTCATAAACTTTGTCTTCGTGAGATTCAGCTGTAGTCTGACCTTTCCACATGCATGGTCAAAGTTGGCCAGCATTTGTGTCACTTGGCTGATGTTTGGTGTTATTAGAACGATGTTATCAGTGAAGTGGAGGTGGTGTATTTGCCGACCATCTATCTTCACTCCCATTCCTTCCATTCCAGTCATTGCATGATGTTCTTGAGGGTGGCACTGAAGAATTTCGGTGAAATGGTATCACCCTGCCCAACCCCTCTCTTGACGTCAATGATCACCTCCCAGTAGAATGGTGAGATCCTGGTAGTGAATCCGCAATACAGCTCACAGAGGATCCTGATGTATTGAGTTTGAACGCCCTGTTCAGCTAGGGCTTTGATGACCGCTTCAGTCTCAACAGAACGAAAGGCCTTCTTTAAGTCAACGAATGTTAAACAGAGCGGCATCTTGAACTACAAAGAAACCTCAGTGAGATTGGTAATCATGTAAATATGGTTGATTGTGCTGAATCCTTTTTGGAACCCAGTTTGCTTGCATGGATGTCCTTCATCTAGTGTTCTGCCAATCCTATTCAGGATAACTCAAGTACATAGCTTGTGGACGACAGACAACAGGCAGATTGGGTGATAGTTGCCAATGTCGTGGATGTCTCTCTTCTTGTACAGTAGTACAGTCCTGCTGGTTTTCCACTGGGATGGAACTTTGCATTCAGACAAATGCAAAAAAGAGCCGAGCCAGTGTATTGTTGAGTACTGATGGCAGGTTCTTCAGGTGTTCGGGTCTGACCTTGTCTGGGCCAGGTGCTGTTCACTTCTTCTTTTTTTTTTTTAATTTTTATTAGTGAAACATCATAAGGTACAGTTGTAGACTTACAAATTTTTGTGCTTGGGTTTCAGTTATACAATAATAGAGTACCCATCCCTCCACCAGTGCCCATTCTCCACCACCACTGATCCCAGTATCCCTCCCACTCCCCATCCCCACCATCCCACCCTGCCTTTGTGGCAGGGTATTCCCTTTTATTCTCTCTTTCCTTTTGGTTGCTTCTTTACTGACAAAATGGCGTGTCGGATTTTGGAATGGAGAATGTTGGGAACGACATATCCATCCTGCGGAATTTGGTATGTGGGCAGGTGGGCATGAGTATCGAAGAGATCCAAGTAGAAGTCATAGATAATCTTCTCCATTGCCCTTCTGAGAGATGTGATAGATCCATCAGGACATCAAAGGACAGTCATCTTGGTCTTGTAGTTGGCAAAGGACAGTCGGGCATTGCGAATGCTTTTCCTGGCTTCTGCCACATCTACCAGCACTGCTGCTCTTCTCTCTTTGAGGTTTTCCTTGATCGCTTCTCTGCACTGCTTTGCGAGCTCAGACATTCACTTGCAGTTGCCTGAGGCTTGTGCCAAGCCACATTGGTGAATGAGCTCCAGAGTTTTCAAAGACGCGTCTTTTTGTGGCTATCTCTTGCTCAGCGTTCTTCACACAATCACGGATGTGCTGAACTATTGCTCTAAGATAGCTTTTTAAAGGTAGAGGAAATGATATGCTCAAATACAAATTTTCTAGAGTGGTATGAATTAAATAGAATTTTTGTGGTCTTCAAGTATCAGTTTGACAAGCATAAGAAAAAGTACAAGAAAAGCAGTGAAGAAGGCGGATTCTAAGGGAATAAAGCTTGTGGCCTTGATATTAAAATATCAAAATAGTGCAGCATTCACTCTTAATAAATTGTAAAACATACATGGGCCATAAAATCTCATTGGTGTTGGTCAATTCAACTTAACTCTGTGGAATTTATTGTTTTCCACATCTCTGTTATTAATTATGGCATTACTTTTAAACCATGGAGAGAAAACATAGAGTAGGTGGTTTTCATTCCTTGAAGGACATTGATTTTAATGTAATCACTCTGGTTAATATTATGTTCAATATTAAAATTGAAGGATGAAACTTTAGATAGTGTTTTTACTCTGGATTGACAGAATAGACTGAGAAGTTTACCAAAAGTTTTTCTTCAATTTTGATGCTTATATTTTCAATGTAAAATTAAATTGATATCACATTATATGAAACTCTGTGTTTTTTTTTCTTTTTTGCTTTTTGGGTCACACCTGGCAATGCACAGGAGTTACTCCTGGCTCATGCACTCAGGAATTACTCCCAGTAGTGCTCGGGAGACCATATGGGATGCTGGGAATAGAACCCGGGTCAGCTACATGTAAGGCAAACGCACTACCCACTGTGCTATTGCTCCATCCCCTTTTGTTTTAATTTTGAATTATTCTCTGTTACTATTGTTTCTGAGGTAGTTTGGCCAGTCATGCCCAGTTATCCTCAGAGCCCAAGTGCCTAGAATAGTTAGAATTCTGAGTACACTGTGGGTAAATAGTAGTGTAGAGTCCATCAGATTAGAATAATGCTACTCTTTGGTCCTGAAAAATATCACTGGATAGATGGACTCATTCCTCTTTGGCTAATTACTTTGAGTTTTAGTACTTTGTTTTGGTTTGGCTTGGGGGGGGGCACACCCATTTGCACTCAGGGCTCACTCCTGACTGGGTGCTCTGGGGACTGTATGCAGTACTGGAATTGAATCTTTGAATCTGGATTGGATGTTGCAAGAACTGCCCAGTTACGTTTAAGGGCCCATATATCCCTACTTCAGGCTGGCTTAGTGCAGTAATAGTCATCTTTGGAAATGTATCTCAGGCCTAAGAAATCCCCCCCTTTATAAATATACTAGAGAGCAAAGCAGCCAGATGGACTTCAGCAGGCCTCCAAGTGACCCATTCCTTCTGACTCCACCATCCCACATGTTGTTCTCTGTTTCCTTGGAGATCATAACTGCTGGGTTCATGTAGATCATCACAGTTCACCTGAGACGCAATTCTCCACTCATGACCATATCAGGCTGTGTCAGCATGTTTTAGGTGTGATACTTCTTACTGTTATTTTCCAGAACACTCATTTCCAGAAACCCTAGGTTACTCAAATCAGCTTTAAGACGGATTTTCACTTAAATTATAAGGTATTAACTTGTCTTCAAAATGTGATCTAAATGATACTTTGTTTTCAATCAGACTTTGAACTAAAAGTCATTAAAAATTGTTCAAGAATACTTAGAAATTGTCATTCAGTTTTTGAAGAATTTTCACTTCAACTTCAATATTTGCACAGGTGTTTCTTTAGAAAAACTTTTTTTGTTGTTCAACCCTCAAAGCATCCTGTCTAGAACTAAAAATCAGCAATAACTTATTAAGGGATTGGGGAGATAGGTCAGAGGGCTGAGTGCATGCCCAGATTGCACAGGGCCCTAGATTTGATCCCTGGCACTGGTAGGCCTCCAGAGAGAGCACTGCTAGGTGTAGCTCTGATGGCCCTTTGGATTGCTGAGAAGTCCCCCAAAGTCCAGTAAGTTATTAAACACAAGCCAAATATTTAAACATTTGGCATTCAAACTAATGTTTAAATTAAAAGACTAATTAGACATTTATTTTAAAAATAATACTCAGAGCTTTATTTTTAACCTTTGAGAGAAAGAGACTCAGAGCTTTATTTTTAACCTTTGAGAGAAAGAGTTGTAAGTCATGCTTAAACATTCTAGATGTTTTGAAATTAATTGTTAATGCTAGAACTTTTATAAGATGGATGAAATACTATTTAAACTAATATTCATGGGTTAGGGTGTGGTTCAGCACCCCCATACATGCGTGAGGCAATCTGGGTTTGATTCTTAGCACCACTACAATTTAAAAAATCTAAAATAATATTAAAATATCACAGACATAATTTTAAAGTCAATAAATACATCTTTGGTTTTAAGGGGAACAGTGCATTATTTCATAGTGCATTCATATTCAGAGATCATGGTGTTTATGTTGCATTATCATAATTTTCTAATTAATTTGTTCTTTGTACATGTATATACACGTTCCAATTGCATTTCATGAACTCATAGTTTTCTTGTAAGTTTGTGCTTTCTTTCCATGTTCAAAGAATCTCTTTAATTCAATTTCTCTGTTTCTCCTCATACAGTCTGGCAGCCAGATATGCAACTCAGTCTAATCACAGTGGAATTGCAACCAGTCAAAAAAAGCCTACTAGGTCAGTTAATACCTCTAATTTATTGCTTGTTAGTGGTAATAAGGTAAATTCCCAGTGATATTTCCTCCTATCATTCTAAATTTTTTTTCCTAAAATAACATTTCTGGATAAAAGTTTAAAAGACTGAATCCTTTCCAGAGAATTTCTATGTGTAGTCTGGAAGATGAGCATGTTTGTGTTGGATCATTAAATGAGTTTTGGTTGGTTCTGCTTTAGTTTTGCTTAACATAATGCCATGACTGAGCTAAAAGTCTCTAGGCTTAGAGATAGCCAATAAAGAGTTACCTTAAAGGTCAAATTCTTGCCAGGTCACAGAATCTGGAAGTTTTACAGAGTGTAATTGCGTTTTGACCTAGGCATGCTTTAATTTTGCACATTTTGAAATAGAGAGAAACATTGGCTATTTTTTTTTTTGTGGGGAAGTTTGTACTAGATTAGCCTGAACTTCTTTGTATCTGTAATAGTTGAATTTTTTTTTTCCTTAAAGCATGTATTTTAAAGTCAGTTTGCTATAGTAAGTGACAAGACATTATGTACTGTTTGGATAATGCTGGTATATAAAAATGTGTTAAAATGTGTTAAGTTGTTAAAAGAAGATGGTAGCATAGAACAGCTGAGTGTAGCCACAGCAAATGTGTTCTGCACTCCCTGGTTTTTATGTGATTTTATGTGTCATCTCACTTACTCTCTTGGTGATTTACTAGTCATTGCTCTAATAATGTCATTTATTAGTCATTGCGCTAATGAAATGTCCTTTGACCGCAAGGACCACTTATAATGCATTGACTTAAGGTATGTACCTTTCTTTTTTGCCTTGGTTTTCTCAGTCATGTTAATTTTTATTGTAATAAGAATTATTCTGAAGAGATGAATTAAAAGTGCATTTACTGGAAATTAGAAAGAATCATGCAAATCAGAATATACAAAAATGACCTCGCTGATACAGTAAGCATTTTATTAGTACTCCTAAGACATCTGCGTGTAGAGTTAAATACTTTGATTAAGCAGAAAATCTCTTTCTTTTTATCCCCTTGATTTTCTTTTTATTTCATTTTTATTACCTTGATGAATGATCTAGAGCTCTGGCTGCCTGTCAAATTAGGATAATGAGAAGAGTAAATGGATTTTTAAATTTGTTTTAATTTGTGTTTCTGAAAACTAAAGATCATTTGCCTTCATGGGTCACATTAAAGACTAAAATGCATTTTAATTGATTTCTAGAAATAGGTCATGTTTCATTGTAAGCTGGGCAAGTTTTGTGACAAAATTTACTTATGCACATGAAATTGAAATGAACTGTGTAATCTATGACTGTATCTACAGAAATATGTCTCATATTTATTATGATTAGGACATTTGGCCATTTTAATTAGTTGAGTCCTGTCTTCATTGTAATCATTAGTACTCTAAAATTCCTGTTGTCTGCAGTTATTGTGCTGTGGTTATTGTACTTACATGTATTTTAGATTCCTTTGAGCAAAACTTAAATACTAGAATCACTTAGAAAAGATTCTCATCTTGTATCTGACACACAACCTACCAAAATAGCTGAAGAGAGGTGCTGAAATGATACTACAGTGGATAGGGCTTTTGCCTTGCTTGTGGCTGATCTGGGTTTGACCCCTGGTATTTCATGTGGTCCCCTGAGAACTGTCAGGAGTAATTTCTGAGTATAGAGCCAGAAGTAACCCTTGAGTATATCCAGGTATGGCCCTCAAACAAACAAACAAAAATCCTAAAAAAGCTGAAGAGAGTTTCTTAGCATATGTATTTATACTCCAAAAGATAGGTAATGTTTAGAAGTAAAATTCTGTTTTTAAGCTATTTCTGTTCTTTTGTGAAATTCTTTTATTGATTCTATTACTGGTTGACAAGTATTTAAGAACCTTTTCTCCTTATAACCTATGGAAATAATATATTGCATAGCATTACAATAAAGGTGAGTTAAAAATTGAATATTATAACAACTGATGGTGAAGTTTTGATTTATTGATTGAACACAATAAATATCCTTTATTTTAATATGTGTAAAAGAGCACAGCAAAACCCTGCGAGCTGTATGTATACTTCTTGATTTTTAAAATTTTCCTTTAAAACAATAAGAGTAGTACACATTTAAATTCACATGATGGCAGCAAATACCACCTTAGATGCTGGTAATCTTTAAAGCCATATTATTAAGCATGTCAGAGTGTTGATGTTTTAATTTCCAGTTTGCTTGGATTGAGTTTGTGATATATTTGTCACTAAATGTAATTTTTACTATGTATATATCTATATTTTAGTGTGGTTTAGAAATGACATTAAACTATTACACTAAAATTTTGAGAATAAAAACTTATAAAATAATTATCTAGTGAATTAAATTATCTACACTGATATTTGACTAAAGTCCAGGTAAAATATTCTTACTTCCTGTGAAGGCCACTATATTTAAGACTGCATTTAATTCCACATATCATATCCTTCATACACAAAGTAACTAAAGCCACTCTCATTATAGGCATACTTCAAATTATTATTCTAGTAATATATATAACATCACTTTGTTCATTCCTGTGTTCTATTAGTTACCAAAGGTAATATTTTAATAAGCATTTTCTGTTTGTAATTTGTTCAGTAACCTTATCCTTATTTTTAGTGTAGTTTAACTTAGGATACAGCTAAGATGTAAACAAATGTTCCATCAAAAGAGCATTAAAAGAGCAATTAATAACAATTGCATATAACTGATTATTACCCCCAGAATATAAAGTTAACTCACTATTTTCCTTGCTTCTCAAGTACTGATAACAATACATTTAAGCATTAATCATTGCGGATATGGTAAAAATGTGCTGTTAATTCAAGATAACTATTTCTAATTGCTTATTAGAAAAACAATATGCATTACAGTATACGTTGGGAGCATGCATATTGAAAAAAAGTGAGGAAAGGCATTTCTAAAACTCCTCTAAGCTTGTATTTAGCTATTTGTCATATGAACTTTGTCATATTCTGCAAAATAGATTTTAGAACATCATGTACTATAATTTTCCTTTTAACTCTTCCCTGCTCAAGTCTCTTGCTCCTATCTTTCCATACTGTACAATAATGATGTAATTTTTCTTGTACTATTTCAGGCTTCCAGGTCCCTCTAGGGTGCCAGCTGCCAGTAGCAGCAGCAGCAAGGCACAAGGAGCTTCCAACTTAAATAGGCGAAGTCAGAGTTTTAACAGCATTGACAAAACAAAGCCTCCAAATTATACAAATGGCAATGAGAAAGGTAAGTGTTTGACTGTTACATCACTAGGCACACATCTAATGTGGGAGTCTCATGCTGAATCTCCTATTTAATGAGAATTAGAGCTTTGGGAGTAGAAATGTTATCAGTGGAGATTCGGGTCTTTCCTAACTTCTCCACTTCTCCCTCCTGAATTCCAACTTTTTTTTTTGGAAGTCTCTTATCCGAAGAAGAACATTTAAGGGGAATAAAACTCATTTATTTGTAATGGTTAATTTTATACTTGTGATTAAGATATATTCTAAAATAAAACTTCTCCCTTAGATATAGAAATGTTTTCCTTTCGCCTGCTCATATTTCATGAACATTCACCTGTGTTAAACAATTTTTTTAAAAAAAATTCTAATAGTCTTAGTTAGCCTAAGTACATAAGTGTTTGGATAATTAAAACTAATGCATCAAAAATTGTTATAGAATTATGTGAGGTATTAAATCTTTGAAAGGAATAGAACACAAAAATATTATGTCCTGAGTTTTTCCCAAAGAGACGCATTCTCATGTTTGTTTTATTTTTGTACAACAGTACATAATAAAAATATATAACCCCCAAATCAACAAAAAGAAAGTAGAAGTCTTTGTTAAAGGTAGATTCTATAGTAGGTAAATGACACAGGAAGTGTGTCATTTAAATAGCACAAAGCTATTTAAACTCGGAAGTGTCATGTAAATAGCAGCTGGATTGATGTGAATCACTGGAGCATGGTTACAGGTAGGAGGGTGCTAGTTTATGTTTAAAGTAGGAGGAAATCAAGAATTTACATTGCTGTAAGCAGTTAAACATCCTCAGGGTGTTTAACTCCATATGGATTAAGGCATACAATTTAAAAATGAATGAACGATAATTTAGCTAGTGGGTAGTATAGGCATATTGTCTTTGATGACACAACCAGATTCAAACTTTCGTTCAGATTAGACTATTTCAAATTGTTTCACAGAGTTGAAATTATAGATAAATTTCTTTCCTAGACACTCACATAATGCAGTAGTAATTTGCATTGGAAATTCTTGCAAAATTTTCTTTATACATGGACACAAATTTGGATAGACTCTTACTAAGACCTGAATGCAAGATGACTTGATGCCTGCCAAATTTGTGCTCTTTCATTAAGTTATATAAGAAAAAAATTATGTATCTGGAAGTTAGAAAGAAAATTGTCTTTAAAATATAGGATAAAGAGGCCAGAGATATGGTATAGAGGTTAAAGGATTGCCTTGCATGTAGCTTATCCTGGCCCACTCCTAAGCACTATAAGGTCCCCAAGTACCACTAGGAGTGACCCTCAAGCACAGAGCCAGGAATAGTCTCTGCACACCAACTATGAAAGAACAACAGCAAAAAATAAAAATATTAAAATGAAGGCTGGAGCAATAGTATAGCAGCTAAGGCACTTGTTTTGCATGTGGCCAACCGGAGTTTTGATATCCAGCACCCCCTATAGTTCCCTGAGCACAGAGCCGGGAGTAAGCTCTGAACACCAGTGGGTGTGGCCCCAAGTTCATAAACAAATATTTAAGAAAAATACAGTTTCAGCTTTGATTTAAGATCTTAGATAATATTACTAAAAATTTCTCATTTTTCTGGGGTAGAAATTGACTACTCCTCAGAAAAACTCACTCCCTTATTTTTGTGACTTTTTTTTTTCCCTAGAAAGTATCATACAAGTTCCATAAATGCTACAAAGTTCTGAGCTCACTTTGACATAGACATGTAATGAATGAACTGTTTATATGTCACGTTTGCTGCATAATATTTCTGCAAAAATTATCACTACTGATAAAATAATAATAAGTGATAACAATAATTGTCAAGAAGTACAGAAACATTTTTAGACGACCTAACATTTTGATCTCCTAATGTATCTGAATATTTTTTTGTGGTTGGTTTGGCTTTGGTGCCACATCTGGAAGCTTTCAGGACTAACTTCTGTCTCTCTGCTCAGGGAAGACTCCTGTCAGTGTTAGGGAACCATATGCAGTACTAAGGATCAAATCTGGCTTGGACTCCTGCTAGGAAGTACTTTAGCACCTGTAATGTACCTCTGACCTCTGGATTTGATTTTTCATGTCACAGGAAATAAATTCATGTCTAATATCTAAACATTAAAAAGGAAAAATAATAGGCAGGGTCAAGAGTTTCTCATTTTCTATAGTTACTCAGTCTCTCCTACTGTTGGAAGTAGTGCAGGATTTAAAAGTAGCAATATGCTGCAGATTTAAAAGAAAAAGCCTCTTCCTCATTGAAAAAAAAATAATCCTAGTCAAAATGATAATTTGTAATTTGCTGGAACTATCAGATCTACTGAATTTCCTTACTTAAATTTCTTTGACACTAGATGGATTTATTAACCACAACACAAGCTATCACTGAATCACCCATGCTTTTTAAGAACTAAGTCTCTAGTTATTTTTTTTAAACTACCAGTTACACATATATAACAAAGAAACAATAAACCATGCACTTACTTCTATAAAATAAAATAAGTAAAAGTAGCAATATTTGCAATAGCCACAAGATGGAGACAGATGACACACAGTATCAGTTTTTTTTCACCATTGCAGATTTCTTTGAGGTCTTGATGTTCAGCAAGACTTAAGGTGTTTGGCAAATTAGCTTCTACTTTTAATTCCAACTAATAAAATATGCCCAATAATTCAAAGTATGTTTATAATTAAATATTAAATGACTGATATATTCAAATATGCATACCAAACGTGATCATTAAATGCAATACAGTATATTCTATTAACACGGGGTTACAACTTAATGTCAGTACATCCAATCAATATTAGTATGTTAATCTTGTGTCTTGCTATTTTATATTTCTAAAAATCTGACAGCCTATTAAAAAGTTAAGAGATCAACCTATTGGCAGATAGAATCATACATATTTAGATTATGCTGCAACTAGAAATTTCCATTTCAAAAAGGCTGTCAGGCCTATCAAAAAGGAGTTACCAATGAAATACATATAAGTAATATATGCAAATATATATTATATTATATATAGTCTAATCTGAACAAAAAAAGTATCTATCTGGTTGTATCATCCTTGCTTAAGATAACCAAGTCAGGAGAATATTTATAAGAATGTCCAGTGTTAAAGAGTTAGAGTGACAAAATTTAGAGTACTAACTTGAGTTTTCTACTTTGCAAAAAAAAAAATAATAATAAATTAAGAATTTGAAAAAAAAAACTTAAAGTTTTACTTTAAAGATCATCAATCAAATTATAATAATTATTATTATTTTGGTTGGTGGGCCACACTTAGCAGTGCTTACTCCTCGCCCTTTACTCCGAGGTCTCTCCTGGTTGGGCTTGGGGGACCAATTAGGGTACTGGGGATGGAAGACAGAGTTTGCTTATGCAGTGTAAGTATCCAACTGTACTATCTTTTCTGGCCTCCATTAATTAAAAAATTTTAATGTGCTCTCTCAATATTTCTTTATGGAAATACAATTTCAACTAACTTTAGTTTTAGGTGATGTTAGTTACTAGTCAATTGAATAATCTCTAAAATGTCTAATAGATAATAAAGGCTTCTTGGAATGTAAACAGTTTTACATCTCTATTTAAAACATACTTTTGAAAGCACAGTAGAATTTCAAATCTATGGAGTTATAAGAGTAATTTATTTGAACATTATGTGATTTTTCCAAAGAAATCAGTGGAGAGTTACAAAACTACACTTCAAAATACTCATCCAGTATCATTTTTATAATAATGCAATTCACAATAATTTATATGAGCGTGTAAATTAAGATTTGCTCGAGCGGGCCCAGTAACGTCTCCATTGGAGACTTTGTTGTTACTGTGTCTGGCATATCGAATACTCTCGGTAGCTTGCCGGGCTCTCCGAGAGGGGCGGAGGAATCGAACTCGGGTCGGCCATGTTGGCCGCTTGTAAGGCGAACGCCCTACCGCTGTGCTATCGCTCCAGCCAGATGGATTGCCTTAGATCATCACTTGCAGAGGTCAAACTAAAGATGCCAGAGTAGAAATCACTTCTATCCTGCCATTCTGTTGAAGTGGAATGTGGAAAAAAAAATTCTTCCAACAAATGATAAAATTAAAGTGGCATTGTTTGCATAGTTATACTCTTTTGAGAGTCTCAATTTCTTCTCTTGACAATTTAGAAACTGACTGTGAATATTATATGTTGTGAAACCAGCACTTCCCCATTTGCCCTATAAAGCCTGTGGGAGGAGAGTCCTCTATACAGCTGTGTATTTAACAAAATCCAAATACATGGTCACTGGAGAGGAGCAATATTGTGAAAATTATGGGGAGCTGTACTTTCTACACATTAAGCAATTTATTTTAAGACTTTTTATCTTGGTTTATATAATGGGCGACATAAATATTTGCTAAAGGTTCAATAGTGTAGTAGTACTGGTAATATAAATGTCCCGAGTAAATTTGGAATTTAATTTATAAATCACCATTTGTAAACACCATGGCTCATCAGAGTTCATTAGCAAAGTTGTTGTTATATGTTGCTAAGATACAGGTCACAACACCAGACGACACTGCCATATTTTCATTGTCTCTACAAGGTGGTGATTGCATTGCACTTGTATATCTACTGAAAAAGGGGGAGCCTTTCTGTTTCAAGATTCTAATAAAGTACCTTCTGGGTATAAAGTATTTGTTTTCATTTTCACTCAGTATAGAGTTAGTGGAAATGATGCCAATATATTGTGGCATTTCCATAAAGCATTTTGAAACTATAAGGTTTATGTGAGTTGCATTAATCATGACATTTTGACAAAGGTCATATGTCTAGTTTTAAGAACTTAAATTGTTTTTAAAGTCCTGTGAAATTACTATAAAACCAATTAACAGACATGATTCATTTTATTTTTTGAGGCAATGGAAATATATCTTATTTTTGGTGTTGCCTCATTAGTGATATGATTATGTATTTAACCATGATGTTTTTTACTCTATTTTTAAAATAGACCAGCCTCAGATAGACAATTGG